GCCACAATTAACACCAAAACCGAAGTAAAAACAAAACTTAAGCGCTCCAATAAACTGCATTTTAAAGTTGGCCCTTTTTTCTTCTTTTAACTTAACTTCTTTTAAACTCTGGAATTATGAAACACATATTTAAGCTTACCAATCGCAACCATTTTTTTATTAAGAATTCTTCCATACTGGAATTTTTATTAACCCAAACTAAATAAAACCGTAAAAAAACATATATCCTTAAATAAAATCTTTTTTTTTAATTTAAAATGAAAGTGCGACTGATTTTTAACAACTTTTTCTAAAAACCTTCTGTTTTTAAATATTTTTTTTTCAATCTTTATTTATAATTATGAATAAACATGTAAAAAATAAAAAAATTTAATTTAAGAATTTTTGTTATATATTTTTATTAAAAAACGTAAATAGTTTCATTATTTTCTTTACTTTTCTTTTCAATAATAATTTGCATGAGTTGGTTCTAAAACTATAGAAAAAGTTATTATGAATTTCAATAATTATTTAAAAACATTAACTTTTTATTTTTATGCGTTGAGAGGACCGGGGCTAATTACCAAAATTTAATATAATTTTGTTGATTGCAAATAATAGTTAGTTTAATTTGCCAAAGCAATAGTTTATTTTACTTAAAAACAATTCCCTAAATTTTTTTTTTTTTTTTTTTTTCTGTAAAAAATAAATATTCTCAATTTTACTACTAATAAAAAAAATTAATTTTATAACAATTTATTTTTTTCCATAATAGGAGACAACTAACCCCGTGAAATTTTTGTCCACTTACCCAAAAAGCCTTTTTCCTAATAAACAGCCTTTAGATCATGAAAAATTGCAACTATTAAAAAAAAAAAAAAAAACTGAATGGAAATAGTAAAGGTCCAAATCTCGCTAATAAAATAAATCCAACAACTGATTCATTTAAAAATTATCTAACACCCACAAATAAAGCCATCATGTACGATAAAGAATTTGTAAATAAAGAATTTGAAGAAGCCTTTTCCTCTTTAAAAAAAAAAGAAAGCACCTGGATTTGATGAAATAACGAGTGATTTAGTTATCTTTAATAAAACCAGTTTAAGTAGACCTCTGATCCATATACTAAAGCTCTCAATAACATCTGGGATTTTCCCTGATGTACTTAAATTAGCAAAAGTAATCCCTATATTTAAATGTAATGAACATTCGGACATAACCAACTTTAGACCTATATCAATACTTTCTGTTTTTTCAAAACTCTTTGAACGTGTAATTTATAATAGAATCTATAATCACTTTACCAAAAACAAATTATTTTACCCAAACCAGTTTGGATTTCAAAAAAACCTTTCAACAGAGCATGCAATTATTGAATTAGTTAATCAAATAACCAATGGTTTTAATCAAAACAAATTTACTTTAGGAGTTTTTATTGACTTATCAAAAGCTTTTAATACAGTTGACCACTGCATCCTATTAGATAAACTAAAATACTATGGTATAATTAATAAAACTTACAATTGGATTAAAAGTTATCTTACCAATAGAAAACAATATGTTTGCAATATACAATCTGGAGTATTAAATGTTTTATGTGGAGTTCCCCAAGGACCTATCCTTGGTCCACTTCTGTTTCTAATTTATATAAATGATTTTTGCAATGCATCTTTAAAACTAAATTCAGTCATGTTTCTGACGATAGAAATCTATTTCTTACTAACAGTGATACCAAGAATCTATATGCAGACATTAATATCGAACTAATTAAAGTAAATAATTGGCTTAGAGCTAACAAACTCTCGCTTAACTCAGAGAAAACAAAATGTATATTATTCCATAAAAAGGCGTAAGAAGAAAACCTTCCTCTTAAGTTGCCTGACCTTATCCTAAATAGTAACTTAATTAAAAAACAAGCCAGCATTAGATTCTTAGGAGTTCTTGTTGATGAGAAGCATCCTGGCTTCCTCAAATAAGATATATTCAATCTAAAATCAGTAATATAATTGGTATGATGTATAGAGTTCGCTCATATATCAATAAACAAAGTCTAAAACTAATTTACTTTGGACTAATGCATTGCTTTATCAGCTATGCAAACATATCATGGGCAAGTACTCAGCCATCAAAACTTAAAAAAATCTATAGTTTACAAAAACAAGCATGCAGAATCATTTACTTTGAAAATAAGCGGGAGCATGCAAAATCTATAATGAAAGATATGAAAATGATGGATGTTTTTGAAATAAATATCTATCAGTATTTAATTTTTATGTATCAATTTAATAATAATCTCTCTCCTACAAACTTTACTAACAAGTTTGAAATAAACATAAATAAAAACTACTATCTAAGAGCAAATATAAGTAACACATATAAACTGCCTCAAAACCTTAATAAATATACTGAATATAGCATTGCATATCGGGGGCCAAATATATGGAATAGATATCAAAAAGGATCCAAATGTATGGCAAAGTCATTAAGTTCATTTAAGTTTCTGATAAAAAAAGAAATTTTTAAAATTTGATTATTATTTGTGCTTAAAAGGATTACAAAGTAATTTTCTTTATAATCTTATTTATTAGTTTTTATTGATCAGCGCAGCAGTTTTATGCCCATTAGGGTTTTTAATTTAATTTAATATCCATAACCTAATGAAAATGTATATAAAGGGCTCTATGAAAAGATTGCGATGAGCCTCTTCTTTGAGCCTCTGTCTGTTTAACTCTTTATTTTATAAAGATCATTGTAAAAAAGTATAGTTTATTTTATATACTGTATATACAAAAACGGTGCTTGTTGACAAGATTTTACTGTCTTCTTTGTTATACGGACATATTTCTTTCTTTCTTGTATATATATGTGTTGATTATATTTGTTAAACAGCAAAATAAATGTAAAAAAAAAAAAAAAAAAAAAAACAACTGTTATATAAGCCTTTGCAATATATGTTTATAGTTTTTTTACAATCTACTATTTTCTTCGTAAAGTAAAAAGGAAGCGAAGTTCAAATAGTTAAGTTTTGTCTAAAAAACACATAAAATCTTGATACCTATCAAGAGCATGCCCGAATCCTTACAATACTAAAGTGAAAGATGAACCGGTCATTTAGAAAGGTTCTATGTAAACTTTGCCATTTTCTGATAAAAAGCTCTGAAGATAAATGCAACTCATCAACTTACCCTGCAGACAACTAGCCCAGGTCTTTCATCATAATAATTGATTTGTACATGATGTAGAATAATAACTTGTGCAATAATAGTTTTACCATGGATAAAGCAGAAATATCGTTTGTAAAATTTCCAGACCATACCATGACACTATATTCTACATATTTTGTTCTTATAGTCATAAAAGTTTAAATTCCATTTTTTGATCTGGTTTTGTCAATGGCATTCCTGTATTTACGGTCTACGTCTGTTTTTTATGTATAAAAGCTCTAACTAAAGATAATTTACACTTTATCATAGTTGCCCTATTTACAGAGTAGGATTTCGTTGACAGACGGATCTTTGTACATAAAACTTTCGAACAACTTACAAAGTAGGGGACCATTTCGTTTACAGAAGGTTCTCTGCACATAGAACTTTTAAACATAGCTTTAGTAAGTATATAAAATTATATTTTGTTTAAAATATTTATTATATCTACAAAAATAAACTTGTTCTTTGTTTCAAACTTAATTCGAATAAGCTTATTTTGCATTAACTCATCATAGAACAATCGCACAGCGCTGTTGACAATTGAAACATTATTGTAAAGTATTCGTTTGCTGTCATTGACCTTCTGACAACATCATGTATCTGTGGAAATATTTCATGGTGTTTTTTTTGACAAATTTGGAGTTGTCGAAACAAAATATAGTATACGATATCGTATCGTATCTTGATATCTTAGACTGTACGATATGGATAAACAATATCGTAGCGATACCTTGATATCTTAGACGTACCCTACTAGTTGTAACCTAATTAGGCTTTCTAAACCTTGTAGAAATCGAATTTCTAAAAAAACCAATTGAATTAAGAAATAGTTCAAGCTCGCATTAAATCTTATAATCCAAGCATTTTCCATAACTGCCAACTTTCGTCGTTGCTAGTACGTCGCGTTGGTTTGACAAGGTTCTAACTGATTTTCTTTATATTAGGAGAACAACAAATAAATCTTTTTTCTTTTTCTTTTTTTTAAAAAAATAATCATATGACTATTATTATACATCAACCAAAAGAGAATACATAAACAAACAAACAAAAAAAATAAAGTTTTTAATATAAGTAATTTTAATTAAACATTAAAAAAAAAAAATTAAAAGATTTTTTTAAAATTCTCATAAATATAAAAAGTTTCAGCTAGAACCTTGTCAAACCAACGCGTACCAAATTAACAGAACCAAACCAAACCGACAGAACTTTTAGGCTAATACTGTATAAGTCTGAAAATTCTGTCAATTTAATAGCAGTGTACCACCTTAAAAAACTTTCCCACCCGAAAAACTATATTAGTTATACACGTTATGTTAAACGCCTGGTATATTGCTAATACATCACGAGTTTGATACAACATATCGGAAAAACAAAAAAAGAGATTTAAAAACTTGCAAAAAACGCAAACAAAGAGATGTTTTTAACTTTTTTATAACTTGTCCTTTGAAAAACAATGTTTGAGTAAATGATTGCGTGTTTTAAATTCTCATGAGTAATGATTGCATGTTTTTTTTTGCTTAACCTTTTAAGGCTTGAATTAAAAACTAGTATTATATGAAAATAGATGTCGTCATAGAATTTAACGCTATTTAACGCATTAAAAGATAAGAGCAATTATATATTTTTTTCAATTAGAGTTTTATTCGTTTGAGGCTGGTAACATTTATTTTAATGGTAAACAAATTAATGGATATATTTACCATTCTTAATGAATAGGTTATTGTATCAATCATAACAAAACAAAAAATTTAATTTTTTTATTTTCTTTATTTTATAAACTCAAAATCAACAAAATCTGAATACATAATACGGCTAATTTAGGATATTTAGGAATTTGCTTTACAATAGCTTTATTACGTTTTTTATTATGATTACTTTTTATAAAAACTTTTATTCTGACGGTTATGATTATGTCGGTGCTATTGGAATGGATACGTGATCGCCTTATTTTTATTGTAAAATTATTATTGAACATTCGATCTTTTACAACTTTGTTTTCCGTAGCAGTTTTGGTCTCATACTTAGTTACGAAATGTACTAATCAAAATAATAAACCAGATTACAATATAATTATTATTGGAGCAGGGTTCTCTAGTGTTGGTGCGGCTTCTTCTTTGTATGAAAACGGTGTAAAAGACTTTTTAATACTAGAGGCAAAAAACTACATAGGAGGTAGAGTGCATAAAGAAAAATTTTATGGTGAAAATGTGCCATTAGGAGCTGGTTGGATACATAAAGTAAACGATGATCACTTTATTTGGAGATTAACTAAACAATTTAATCTAAAATACTATTTGGATGATTACGATGATGTCACATTCAGGTTAACAATATCTTTGATCTGGCACAAATTTATCAAATGGGTGCTACCATAAGCACCATTTTGTCAATATGTGCCATATTATTAGTGTATAAAGTATGAAAATATTGTATATATATATATATATATATATATATATATATATATATATATATATATATATATATATATATATATATATATATATATATATATATATATATATACATATATATATATATATATGTATATATAGATAGATAGATAGATAGATATAAATATATACATAAATATATATTTATATCTATCTATCTATCTATCTATCTCTCTCTCTCTCTCTCTCTCTCTCTCTATATATATATATATATATATATATATATATATATATATATATATATATATATATATATATATATATATATATATATATATATATATATATATATATATATATATATATATATATATATATATATATATATATATATATATATATATATATATATATATATATATATATATATATATATATATATATATATATATATATAAATATATATATATATATATATATATATATATATATTTATATCTATCTATCTATCTATCTATCTATATATATCTATATATATATATATATATATATATATATATATATATATATATATATATATATATATATATATATATATATATATATATATATATATATGTATATATATATATATATATATGTATATATATAAAGTAGCGCATGTTTGATTTGCGTTAGGAGTTTTTAAAATTGGAGACAGTAAACGCAGAATAATTCATTTCAACCCGTACACGTGACCAGATGACAGATTCATGAATTTTAAATTTTAGTACAAGTTTTTCCACAAGTAAACTAAAAACATGCAATGAATCATTATGATAAAACAAACATACTGATAAAGAATTTTTTAAGGATTAATAGTTTTGCAAGTTAAATGTTATCCACCTTAGCCCGTGTCACCCAAATTGGAACGAATTAAAATTACTCGATCGGCTTTAGATAAATGCCATGAATATTCTGTGACTATTCGGTGTTCCGTCTATTCGGGCAATTTTTTTACTATTTGGTATTCGGCCGAATGTCGCAAACAATTTGGTCAATTACGAAGAAAACGCATAAAAAATGATTACATATAACTATTATTTTTACTTTTTATTATAACAAATAATTAGCATATTTGATACTTAAAATCTATCGGTAAGTTATGATAAAAAAACTTTTCATCGTTTGATGATAACAAAAGATTCCGCTTTTTCTCATAAGTTATACATACTTTCTAAAATAGTCATTTACAATGCACACACTGCCTCGCATATAATAAGAAAGCTTTAGCAATTTCTGTTAGGATATTGTTTTATATTTGCTAACCACCACTTATAAAGGGTTTGCTGCTCAATTTAAGCGATACAAGGACAAAAATTTTATCTTAAAATATTGCCAATTTGCTTTGTTTATAAAAAGTTTATTTTTTTCAGACAGTATTTTTTATCCTCTTTTAGAATCTGGTTTTAAATCTAGAATTTAATTTTTTGAATAGTATTAATTTCAGCAAAATGACTTTTGTGGGGCAAATTTACTTATATGATTGGCTGTATTATTATTATTATTATTATTTTATGTTTACAGTCTGATGATTTTATTTTTAATCTAAAATATCTTTTTCTGTATTTAGAAAAGCAATATTAGTAATAAACTCAGGGAAATTGTTATTTTTATATCTTAACTTCGATTATTAATAGTATTTAATGTAAATAACGACGGTAAGATATTATATAAGAATGATCAATCGTCCAAAATGGGATGAAATGCAATTTTAGCTGTGAGTAAAAAGGAACTTAGAATTAGAAAAACTTCTGACACACATGGCATGTTTAAATTTGCTATACATTAGCATATTACTAATAAGCCAGCTCATCAAAAATTTTGCCAAATAGTTTCAGAGTATTTTTAGTGTGATTTATGTGATTCATAATATTTTTTGTTTTAAATCTAGTAGTAGTTACTAATTTACTAGCATATACCAGATTTGCCCAATTTAATTTTTAGAAAAATTTCTGAAGTTTGTTTGTTTAAGAGTATTTTATAATAAAACAAAAAAAGATTTCTTTATAATTTTAATTGTTGTGTCTTTTTTGTGGTGTATGGCTATGTGGGCGTGTAGTTTCTATCGGTTACTTTTTTGAGAGTTCAATGTCTGAACATCTTTAAATGATAAATAGCCTTCATTTTTTATCATTTTTAAAGCTTTACAATTAACGAATAATTGCAACTTTACAACTGTTTCGCCCAATCTAATTAGGGATGGCAAAAATCCCGGAAATTTTCAATCCCGGGATTTCGGGATTGAGAAATTTGTCCCCGGGAAATCCCGGGAAATACTGGGATTAAATGGAAAAAAACGCAAATGCGATTGAATATTTTATCTTATCAAACACTGTAAAACTTATCAAACTTATTCAAACTATCAAACTTTCACTGTAAAACTCATCAAACTATCAAACAATGTAAAAACTTAGTTAGTCTTCGCTACTTTGGTGAGTTATTTTCGTTAGTTTCGTTACTTTGGTGGTCGTGTTAAATTTACGACGGTTTATTAAATTAAAGACGGTTAGTTTCGTTACTTTGGTGGTCGTGGCTTATTTTTAAATTTTTTTTTTTTTTTTTTTTGGTTTTCTATATCAATAAATTTAAAAAAATAGTGTGATTAGTTTTTATATCAATAAAAATAGTATGATTAGTTTATTCGCAACATTTGTTTCTTAAGTATCCCTATTTGCTTCGCTCTAGCCTAAGTGTATACGCCCCGCTCTACCGTAAATGCCAATTTCACTAGTAATTGAACTTTTCTTTTCCAAATCTTCATTTGTGTGCATATTTGAAGATATTAAAGATATGAAGATTTAAAATATTTTAAACCATACAAACCATAAAAATAGTCTTTAAAAGTAAGCAAAAGTATAAAAAGAAGAGGTTTATTTTCTTTATTTCAAATATAATTGATTATTTATAAATTATTTCGCATTTATTTGCAAAATAAATGCCAAGTAATTTTATTAAAATTTAGCCTCATGAAAAACATTTTCATTTTCAAATATAAAGCAAATTTAACTGCAGGCTGATATTTATGAAAATAAAAAATTTCGAATAAAAATCAACTAAAATTGAATTATTATTTTATATAATATAAGTATTTATTATATATATATATATATATATATATATATATATATATATATATATATATATATATATATATATATATATGTATATATATATATATATATATATATATATATATATATATATATATATATATATATATATATATATATATATATATATATATATATATATATATATATATATATATATGTATATATATATATATATATATATATATATATATATATATATATATATATATATATATATATATATATATATATATATATATATATATATATATATATATTCTGAATAAGTTGAAAGTTGACAAAATAATTACTTTAAAACTTAATAATTCTCTATAAAGATTAAAAATTTTTTTTTTTTCGAATAAAATCTGTTTTAATATTTTACAATTTATCAGATTTTTTAAACACGCAATCAGATAAAAACACTCAGATAAAAAAAAAAAACTTTATATGATTTAGACGCAAAAAAATGTAATAAAAAAATTTGTAAGTATTTTGCTATTTGTAGATGTAGTAATGCTAGACTTTGCTAAAGCTTTTGATAGTGTTTCTCACAAGAGACTCTTTACTAAATTGAATGCATATAGTATTAATGGCTTAGCTCTAAAATGGATGGAAGCTTTTCTAAGTAATAGAAGACAAAGAATAGTTTTTGGTGAATTTGTTTCTGAGTGGGTTGAAATATTTAGTGGCGTGCCACAGGGCTCTGTTATTGGACCGTTAATGTATAATATATACATTAATGATCTGCCAAGTAAATTAATAAATAAAACCAAATTGTTTGCTGATGATACTAAGATATTGCCCAAGGTAAATTTAGACGAGTGTACCTCAAGTCTGCAGAGGGATTTGGATGTATCCTTTAAATCGACAGAAGACTGGCTTTTAAAGTTCAATGTTGATAAATGCGTAGTAATGCATTATGGAGTAAACAACAAAAAGAACCCTCTATATATTAATGGCATAAAGTTACCAGAATCAAACAGCGTAAAAGATCTAGGCGTAATATTTTTTAAAAATCTCAAGTGGAAAGATCAAGTTATGTCTGTAACAAATAATGCAAATAAAATGTTAAGCCGAATCAAAAAATCATTTGCAAGATTGGACTGTTATTTACTTAAATCACTCTATCTAACCTTTATTCGTCCTTTTCTAGAATTCTTAGTTCCAGTATGGTCCCCATATCAAAAAAGTGACTGTAAAGTAATTGAACAAGTGCAGGGTCGAGCCACCAAATTGATTAAATCAATTAGGTGTTTCAGATATGAAGATCAATTAAAATTTTTGAAATTGACAACTTTAATTAAACGAAGAGAAAGAGGTGATATGATCCAACTATTCAAAATAATGAACAATGTAAATATAACAGAGCATAACTTACAAATTATTCAAAATCATGCTAGAGGTCTCTGCTTTAAATATTAGAGGGAAACAACAAAAAATCAAGGCATAATTTCTTTTATAATAGATCAGCAAACTTATGGAACTCATTGCCTTTAGAACTAGTAAATTCATCGTCTGTAAACTCCTTTAAAGCAGGGTTCGACTGTTGGACGAACAACAATCGATCGAAGCGGCTGTCACAGTGTGCCTAAAACCATGCTCACTAGTCATTCCAGTTACAGCAATAAATACTACTAACTAACTAACTAGATACCTTTAAAAAAAGGTGAAAAATTTCAAAGAATCTCATCAACCAAAAATCTTTGACTACTGCTATGATAAAAAATCTTGATTAGCAATTTTTATAACTTTAAAACTAGCAACTTTGCTATAACCTGAAAACGGATAGCCAA